AGCGAGCACTCTTCATCCGCTACCGCCACCACTACCCACCCGAGAACAACGAGTGGGGCGACTTCCAGACGCACCGCAAGGTCGTGGGCTTGATCTCGGTGACCAGCTGCACCTCGGCCAAGGAGTGGCCGCAGACGGCCGAGCGTTTTCATGGTCAGAAGGAGCTTTTCGGCTCCACGCTGTACGACTCACGCCTGCTGGTGTTCGGCCTGCAGGGGGAGATAGCGGAGCAGCAGCGCACGGACGTGGCCTTCTACCCCAGCTACGACAACTGCCCCGACGTGGAGAAGAGGGTGGAGGACTTTGTGGAGTCCATCTTCATCGTGCTGGAGTCTAAGCGACTGGATCGGGCCACCGACAAATCCGGAGATAAAATCCCGCTCCTCTGCGTGCCCTTCGAGAAGAAGGACTTTGTCGGGCTGGACACTGACAGCAGGTGAGTTTGGGTCTGGAGCTACGCCTGCTAGTGCCTGTTAAAGGGCTTCATGTACTGCATTTTTATTGTATTTATTGTTTATTCTGTTCTCACTAATGTAATTGGTGGAGTTTTGTGCATCAAACAAAGTTCAGTAATTCATTTTACGCCATTTTCCAGCCTCTCATCTCCTTTATGATTGAAAAGGCCGCTTTGGTTACTGTGCATTTAAGACTGATGTACTGGTCAAATTACACGTTATTGTTGATTTTCTAAGTGAAAATTAACACATCCCCAAGTTTAACACATTCTCTACAGGGAACCAACGTCTAATTAGTGCACAATTTCTATTTATTTGCTGAATTTAACATTATGGTAAAAAAATAAAGTATAAAATGTGGTCTGTGCAAAAGTTATAGCACATTTTGTATTTTATTTGTTATGCTTTTTCCAGTATGTTAAACTCAGCAAATAGCTAAAAAATTGTCCACTAAAAATGCTATGACTGTATACATGGTATATACACATATTGACACTTTTTATATATAGTCATTGAGTATATATTATATATTGAGTATATTGTCAAAAGTATGTGGACACCCCTCATAATTTTGAGTTCAGGTGTTTCAACTGCAACCATTGCTAACAGGCGTATACAATCAAGCACATAGCCATGCAATCTCCACAGAGCTCAGGGACCTTAAATGTAGCACTGTCATAGGGTGCCACCTTTGCCACAAATCAGTTTATGAAATTTCTACCCTGATAGATCTACCTAGTCAACTGTAAACGCTATTATTGTGAAATGAAAGGTTCTATGAGCAACAATAACTCAGCCTTGAAGTGAAAGACCAGAGTGCTGAATATAATTGTGCCTAAAAATCACCTATTCTCTGTTGCGTCACTCACTACAGAGTTTCAAACTGCCTCTGGAGGTAACATCAGCACAAGAACTGTGTCTGGAGCTTCATGAAATGAATTTCCATGGCTGAGCAGTTGCACACAAGTCTAAGATCACTATGTGCAATGCCAAGCGTCGGCAGGAGTGGTGTCCACATACTTTTGGCCATTTAGTGTATGTTTAATATATATCACATATACTGTCTAAAATCTTTCTTTAGGGTTTAATTTGAGCAAATAAGACAAAAACGATTAAACACGATTAACTACAACTGCATAAAATAATGTGATTTATCATTTTATGATGGACAGATCATTTTTATATGTGTTATTCCTCACTTGGAGCTCAAGTGGAAGAATTCTGTGGAAAGTGCAGATTATCAATCCACACCACCTCCAACTATTTCAGTCTGTCTGTGTTGCTTAAAATATTCTTTGTTTTCGTTCTCCTGTTTCATGTTTTGAATTATTTTCCTTTTCTCGTTTTTACCTTGTTTTATTTGTCTTTCTTCTTTCTTTTCTTCCATACTGTCCTGTGAGTTTATTGTTGGGTGTGAAAAGGTGAGCTGTTAGTTCAGTCAATGCTTAGTTTACCCCTCTCTCACCCACATTCAACCATCCCTGCAGCTTCGCGCTGGCTGGACCGCAGTGCTCTTGTGTCTGGGCTTAGAGCAGAAAGGTCAAACTCATTGTTCCTGTTCGATGAGTGCTGGAAGTAAATGTACAGGAGTGGTCTGCACCTTTCCACTGAGTTTACAAAGCTGGACTCTTGGTTTAAAGGGACGGTTCACTGAACAGTTTGGTGTGGGTCTTTAGTTTTGCACTGGAGCTGCGAGGCAAATGCTAACAAGCTTATACCCCACAAATTAGTGTGAAGTTGTTGAGTAATATGAAGTAGATTTATGCCTCTTTTGACTTGTATAACAAAAGTACAGACATTATTTAGGCTTCAGGATGACTACTACTGCTTCACACTGTGCTGTAAACATCCATACGTCCATTTACGATGTTCAAATCTTGACCCGTGACCCGGACTTCTGTTATCTTAGCCTCGTAGCTCCAGTGTAAAGCGAAAGAAGCAAACTTCAGTCACCAAACATGTCTTGTCTGATTAGCTACATTGGGAATAATTGGGGAAACCATGCGCATTTGATCTTTCAGAGAAACTATTCCTTTAAAAAGGCTCAGGTGAAATGGGGGACGCCTACTAGTTTATTTTATTTTTTGCGTTTCTTAACATTTCTGCATTAAAGTTGGTCTGTCTCTACTGATTATATTAATAATAGAGCAATCTACAGACCATTTTGACTTGATTTGTTAATAGTGTAATAAGAGAAAAATGGGCTGAATTGAACAACAACATACCATGCATAGCATTTCACAGGTTCCCCAGTACCTTTTTGGAAGAGGATACACTCAGAAGCCTTTGAAAAGCCTTTAAAAATATGTAAGCACTGGCATCCTCTACAGAGAACACACCTACATATGGCATTTATTCAAGTAGGCGTGTACAGTTTCTGTTTATTCTGTTTATTTTCCAGTCAAGACTGGAAAACATGTAAATAATAAAACATAAAGCATTTTATGTTTTAGTTTTTTTTCCAGTATGTTACATTCAGCAAATAAACATCATTTATGCATTAGTGTCATTTGACTGGGGTGCCCCAACTTTTGCACACCCCAGTCAAATGACATTTATGCATAAATAATGTTTATTTGCTGAGTCAAGATGGGGGAGAAATGGAAATAATGAAACATAAAGCATTTATGTTTTAGTTATTTTTCCAATTCAGCAAATAAACATTATTTATGCATTAATGTCAGTTGACTGGGGTGCCTAAACTTTTGCACACAACTGTATACAAGGCACGTCCACCAGGCTCTGTTTTATATTGTAAGACAGCAGTGGGAAAATGTGAAGCATGCCTTATTGCGACAATTGAGAAGGCAAATTTGAAATAGTTGTCAATAGTCTTAACAGATTAATCGTGGAATCGTAACAGCCCTAATGTTAAAACGGTTAGCTTCCTCTTTCATGAGTCCGGCTTTGTAATATTCCACTGTGGAAAGAGATTCTGAGCAGAAATGAGTTTCCAGTATTGTGGTCAGTTTAAGTGTGGTTTGTTTTAATAAGCGCAGTGCAAGTAGTGCAGACTGTGGTGGGGCAGATGTGTCTTGGTCCCAAAGCTGGTGGGGTCAAGTGTTTTTATTTTTTTTATTATTTATATATGTTTTTTTGGGGTCAAGTCTTTCTGTTCTCAGTCGTTTTTTAGTCCCAGTCTGTCTTACTGGTCTTGCTCTTCCACTTCCGCATGGATTCCATACGGCCGTTTTTCAATGGTCACCTGCTTTCGCTAATAATAAATAATGATAACTATAATAATAACAAAAGTAGTTTAATCTGCGTATGATTGTGGTTTGATTTATGTCGAAAAATGCTGTTATCTTAAAGCCCCAGGGAACCTAAATCTGTGTTTTCTTAGCTGGTTAATCTTGCGCTTGTGGACGCACGATATACATATACAAAGTATGTCCTGTGAAAAACGTCCCAGTGTCCACTAAATGACTGGTGTATTTTGCCTAAATTCCCCTCTTTCAGTGTAAACTGGGCGCTCCTAATCATGAGTAGCGCTTATGTAAGCAGCATCCCTTCCGGTCTTAAGGCTGGCATGTCTCCTCGCGCCCACACAGCTTACAACAAAACCGTGTTCCTCCACTTTGTCTCATAAACGTTGTGTTTGAGTCTGAGAAACTTACAGAAACAAAGCTAACAACCAAGCGAAAGCTAATCAGCTAGTCAGCTGTGGACACAGTGGGGTCTGTAACATTACAACTGCACATTTCAGTGTCAGTTTAGTTCTGTATGAGCAGCGTTGCACACTGGGAGTGTGAGACTGAGGGCTGTCAGTCAACCCTGCTCATTGGAATATTACGACCGGCAGTTTTTAAGCCATAATTGACTATATTTATACCTTGTTCTTCTCATTCAAGCTTTGATAGATGTTTATGTTTATATAACACTAAATTTTTGTATCATACAAAGATTTTTCTCAGTATTTTACACTGTGTTCCCTGGGATTTAAGTACCTTTTGAACAAGATTAGTTTTACAAGGGGAGGTTAGGGTTTAACAATTTATTAATAATAATAATAATAATAATAATAATAATAAATAGCACCTTTGTCATACCCAAGGTCACTTTACAGAGGCAGGGAAAAGAAAAAAGCCATCAGTGAGCAGAAGAATGAAAGCACTGAAAAAAGAGGTATGTTTTAAGCTGGGCTTTGAAAGAGGAAAGTGAGGACAATCATGAAGAAATTGCAGTAATATGTACCAAAGTTTGGGGGCAGTGACGCTGAAAGATCTGCCCCCAACAGTGACCAGTCTAAATTTTGGGACAGATAAACGACCTGTGTCAGAGGACCTAAGTGGCTGGTATAGTGTAGTGGGTAACACCTCTGCCTTCTACGCTGTAGACTGGGGTTCAGTCCCCACCTGGCTGAGCACCCTACTCTATACCAGTAAGAGTCCTTGGGCAAGACTCCTAACAGCAAATGATCACATTGCAAGTCGCTCTGGATAAGAGCGTCTGGTAAATGCCATGAATGTGAATGTAAGTGTTCGGGCAGGGCAGTAAGGGTGCAGGAGCTCGGCTAAATAGGCTGGTGCCACACCATGTAGAGATTTGTATGTAAGCAGGAGGAGTTTACACTGGATACGAAGCAGGACAGCTAACCAGTGTAAATGACGTAGAACTGAGCTGATATGAGCTGATTTTTTACTTGTGAGCAGCTGAATATGTTAAATAAATCGCATAGTTAGGGAAAAATATCTATGAATGTGAATATTTCTGAACAATGTTGCGATTATGTACTATAAATTGAGGTCCAGGCCTGTTTTTTTTGGGCCTAGAAGACCAGAGTGTCCATTGGTTCTGGCTTGAACATTGAGCAGAGTGCACCAGGCTGCCAGTTAGTTGTGGTTGTGTTGTACATTTGGTTGCTTCTGATTGGTTTAACCCCACCTTAAACTTGTTAAGGCTACATTGCTGATAATGTAGGCTTTTGATTAAATTTGCAGCTCTTGTGATTTGAAAATTGTTCTCTTTTGTAGAAAATCATCTTTCAGTGCAAAAGAGTTCACGTCTAATTCGCACGGTATAAGAAATCTCGCAATGAATTGGAGGCGGGAGTGACGGCGTGATTTATGACCTTAAGGTGCCGTATTTAACATATTCAGCTGCTCACAAGCAGAAAACATGTTCAAATGCTTAACTAACGTGATTTTAACGTACCGTACCAATTTGATTCCATTATAGCTGCTCTGCTATAGTGGAATCAAAGTTAGCCCTCAGTGTGAGGTTTAACGAGGTCATCTAAGTGGAATCTTAGTGTAGTTTATTTTGACGACTCTTGGATTATATTTTCAGACAGTCGAATGAGAAACACTTGACCCACCCAGCCCACAGACATGCGTCCCCTCCCTCCCTTCATTCATTCATTCATTCATTCATTCATTCATTTTTTACATCCTTTTAATCCTTAATTTGCCCTCTTTGTTCCTGTGCCAGACCGGGATAGAGATTAGATTTAGTTGTTGGCTGTTTTTTTTGTTTTTTTCTTTTTGTTTTTTTCTCCTCTCGTTCTGGCCTGTGCTCACCCTTCCTCTGCCCCTGCTCTGCTCCTTCCTGTCTGTGTCTCAACCACTACCTGTCTGTAGCGTAGCAGTCAAAGAACTAGGCCATAAATCAGGAGCTCATGGGTTTGACCCCAGCTGATGGTCACCAGGCCTTTGAGAAAGGCTCTCCATCCAGAGTGATGCCTACACACTTTAAAAAGATGGTTCTTCAAGGGTTCTTTATTAAATAAAATGGTTCTGTGTAGAACCATGAATGCTCAAAAAAACGCTTTGCATGATTAAATGGTTCTTTGCTTCGTGAAAGGGTTCTTCAGACTGATGGAGAATGTGTTTTATGTGGTTCTGTATAGAATTTTTTTAAAAATGGTTCAATGTAGCACCAAAAGGGGTTCATCTATTGTTACAAGCTTGGCATCGTATCAATAGCAGAACCCTTTTTGGTGCAATAAAGAACCTTTTTAAAAAAGTGTTCTTCATATATAACCATCTACAGCACATTCTCCGTCGGTCTGAAGAATGTTTCACAATGGAAAGAGCTATTTAATCATGCAGAGGGTTCTTTGCGTGTTCATAGCTCTATATAGAGCCATCTTCTTTACTAAAGAACCCTTGAAGAACCATCTTTTTAAGAGCATGCATTCAGTTAGTAGAATCAATTTACATAAAATTAGTACAGCTGTTAAAGTGATAGTTTACCGAAAGATCAAATGTAAACTCAGATTTCTTTACAGTGGTGCTGATAGGAACCAGGGGTCACAACATCTACAACACAAATATACCCGTCATTTGCTGTCCGAAATGGCCAAAGAATCTATATGAGACTTCTGAGTTTTAGATGTAACACTAATATAAAATATCTTTTTATTAGGGTACCAACAAGACTCTCTGCCGGTCTTAACCCTGACCCTATTTAAAAATCCATTTCATGCCAATCTTATTTCAGAACTAGCATAAAACAATGTGTCTGACATCAGGAAATGTATTTGTTAGCATTTCGTATAGTAACTTTCTGTGAGGGAACGTTTAGAGGTGGATGTCTGGTTCCTATCACCACCATAAAGCATTTCACACCAAACCACTCTGAATGACTCTGTTTACATCTTACTGATCTGATTATGCAGAAACTTGGATCAGTCACTTGAGGGTGAGGGCTTAGTCAGTTCAACTAATGTACTGAATTAGAAAGAAAAGGCGTTTTTCCTTTAAATACAGTAGATATTTCTTACACTTTGCTGCTTCTGTAAGTTTTGATACTCCACTTTATGCCTGTCTGTGAGTTTAATCGTGAGCCTCCTCCTCTTCTTCCTCAGGCACTATAAGAAGCGCTGCCAGGGCCGTATGAGGAAGCACGTTGGAGACCTGTGTTTGCAGGCAGGCATGCTGCAGGATGCTCTGGTCCACTACCACATGGCTGTGGAGCTTCTCCGCTCCGTTAACGACTTCCTGTGGCTGGGGGGTAAGACCCTGATTTCTGAACGAAGACTGAAATCATGCCCTGGAGCAATGAGGCCAGTGTAGCTAACAAGTAGTGGAAGCTCATACCCACCAATTAGCAAAGGCTGGTTTTCCAATGAAACAAGAACTGACGCAAACAGGAACGAGTGCACGTTACGGTTCTAGGTCTTGTTTATTTACTGCCTACTTGAGAGACAACTGGGACAAAAAAAATTAACAACAACACTCATCCTGTGGAACTTACTGGTGATATAATAGTGCTTAGTGACTTTATCTTCACCTGGACAAGTAAAGAATTTGCCGAATTGTCGCTGGATTCAGTTGCGAGTGCTACATTCTGTTGGTAACAATCTTGAGCAAGTACCAAAAACCATAAAACTGGAAACCTCTGTCCTGGACTGACGGCCAATAGAGACAGAACAGTTCTGCTTTCCTGGTGCCAAAGGTTCTGGTGCTTTGTGCCGTGTAAAAACACCCACTGTGTAAACCGTATGCCTAAATCCTCAAACACTTAGTGTGGAGTTGTTAAGAAATCTTGTTTATGTTTGTCTATAAATACGGACAAACATACAGACAAACTTTTAAGTTTTAAATTGGCTGCTGCTACTGTTTATAGCCCCGTTTAAAACCTGAGTTTTGTCTGTTCATTAGTCTATGGTTGTAGATAACAGTGAGTCATGCATTTTCAGAAACCACATAAGCAGATCTGTCAGCGATTACTGAACGACTCAACACAGTTTGAGGCAAGTGTGTGATTATTTAAGCCTGCAGTTAGCACAAGGCTAATTGGTGGCAATAAGCTTCCATTATGTGTTAGTTATATTGGCCTGATGGCTCCATTGTGGAACTTCAGACACTAAACTAGGGGTGTGGGATGTGGCAAAAAATATCATATCACGATACTTAAAGACATTTTCACGATACACGACACATCATGATATTATGGCACACAGACGCAAACCATTAGTAGTGCTACATTTAAAAACAGATCTAAAAAATTTTGGGAACCATGATTTTTATTCATATCCTGTGTCACACTAAATCAAATCAAACAGGACAAATGAGGTTTTCTTTTTATTGGAATGTGCTGTCGGTCATTATTCTTTAAGTATGGACGATATCCATGATATGCTCAGAAAAGCGTATTTTCTATCGCAGTAACACAATTTATCGCAAATACGATAATATATCATCATATTGCCCATCTCTACACCAAATACACCATGGCATGGAAAAAATTAGGTACATTTTTGCCCAAAGTCATTTTTTAAGAAGCAGAATAATTATCTTAGAGCTTGTCTGCTGGAAAGAAATTCTGTTTTAAAATGTACTGTCAGATTTTTAAAGCATTTGATTCTTGATTCCTTTTTATTTGGGATTATTGTGACAAGTATACAGTGATAAGCAAATGTTTGAACACCCCTGGTCAAAATAGTGAAATAAGGAAATAAGTCCTCTACAGAGAATGCCCTTAAATATTGTATTTTTCTGCTAATTTTAGAGTGCAATTTATCTTATCTGTTGAGTTTAACATGTTGTAAAGAAATAAAACATAAAATATAAAATCCGCCATAAGATTCGCAGGGGCCAGTATGTTGAATTCAGTAAATAAACAGTGATTGTGCATTAAAATGTGCAGAAGTGTGTTCTCTGTAGAGGATGTGTTCACTTATTTTCACTGCAATAAAACACATCATTTGACTGGGGGTGCCCAAACTTTTGCTTCTCAAAAACTTTGCAAAATAGCTCAAAAATTCTTATTGCTCTTCTGTCTGTTGCTGTTTTCTGCCTCAGCTGCGCTGGAGGGTCTCTGCTCTGCCTCAGTGATATTCCACTACCCAGGAGGCACAGCGGGAAAAAGCGGCGCACGCAAGCCCAGCATCTCCGCGGCAACAGATACGGGAAAGAGACATCGGCCAGGTCAGTCTGGAGCTGCAGGGTCCGACACCCTCACCAGCTTCTCCTCACAGATACACCAGGTTTCTCCATGGCAGGAGGTCCAGCGCTGCTAATGTGATTCACATGTCTCTGAGTAGGACTGACTTTCAGAGGACATGATTCCTTATTAAGTAGCGTAACTAAGTCAATGAAGTGTCTCTTAACTCTACTGCTGTTGGACTGGCTTTTCACTGTCTTTTAGAAAAAATCACAACACTGATGTAACTCTAAACCTTCAGACAGGCGCATATGAAGTGCCAGATCAGTCATACTGCCCCAGTCTAACTGCCCCAGTCTAACTGCCCCATTGCAAACTTTTGCAGTAACCACTAACAGTCCCTATTGATTAATGCACTGATTAAACTTTGGATTGATGCAATGATAAGTGGATGAATGGATGGGTGGATGGCATATGAATGGGTGTTGTGATAAATAAATTGATGGATGGAACAGCAAATTGGAGGACGGATGGTTGAATGAGTGGGATAATGGGTAGATGGAAGAATGGAGTAGTAAATGGAAGGATGAATGGATAAATGGATGAAAGTATTAATAAATGCAAGAATAAATGGAATAGTAAATGAAAGGATGGATGAGTGGATGGAAAATGAATGAGTGAATGAATGGGTGTTGTAATAAAAAACGAATGGGATAACAGAGATGGATGGATGGATGAATGGAATAGTAAATGGAAGGATGGCTGAATGAATGGATGAAAGTATTAATAAATGGAAAAAATTAGAAACATGAATGGCTAAGTGGAATAAAAAATAGAAGGATGGTTGGATGGAGTAGTAAGCAGAAGAATATGAAGATGAATAGATGAATAAATGAAAGGATGAATGAATGAATGGATTAATAAATGGAAGGATGAATGGTGTAGTAAATGAATGAATGAATGGATGGATGAATGAATGGATTGATAAAAGGAAGAATGAATGGAATAGTAAATGAATGGATGGATTAACTGAATAGTAAATGGACTGATCGACACATGGATGAATTTAGCAATACTGGTTTTTAAATCAATTATCTAGAATTCCAAGCACCACAGAAGAGCTCATCCTCACAGTCGTGTATGAAGGCTGAGGACATATTTTGAAGAAAAAACATGTTTTTCTGCAATTTTACCTACAGTGATCTATACCTGACTATGGAATATATAAATTAAATGACAAAGAAAACAAATGACAAATAAAGACTATAAAATATATAATAGAAGTTCTGGTCCCCAGGAGTCGTGTCACTGGTGTTACTGCGTAACAAAAAATCTCTTATCATGAAATAAATATCACACTGATGACTTCCTTTTACCTGTTTTCTGAGGATCTATGAAGAAAAGCTCATGGTGAGTCCACTGTGTCTTTCAGTTATCAGAGATTTTCTCATTCAGCTCATGATTTCATATGAAGCTGTTAGTTGAAGTCACTGGTGTGACCTACTTTATTCTGAGGGAATTGCGAAAAAATAGAAAACAAATGGATTAAATTCCATATTTTAGTGGATATTCCACGATTGACAACATGTGGTTTGTTGCTCTATAGCAGCGTTTTTGTGAAATGCATTGTTCGTTAAAATGTCTCTGGTGTTACCTTTCTAATGTGTAACACCAATGACAATCAGTAACACCAGTGACTCCTATGGAGAGATAGAGAAGTGGACGTTTCTGTAGAACGACCCAGTGATGGGATTACTTTTTTCTTGGAAGAAAGTAGTGTAACATATTGGATATACATACTTGGTACACTGGTTGTGCACTGGAAAGGTCACTTATTTTGTTTGCTGATTTATAACCACTTGTAACATGTTATAACAAGAACTCTTTGCTTTCTACATGAGATGACTTTTATTTTGTTTAAGAAATACAGAGATTTGTCTTTTTTCTAACTGGAATAACCACAAATGGGCCTGATTGAATGAATATTAAAATGTCCCTAATGCTTCTTTAACCAACTAATGCAGAAATACATGGACTGATGCTGCTAACAATGCTTCCCCTCGGCGCTGCATGTGTGCCCTTTCCTGTTTTGCAGTGCTTTTAACAGTGTATAGTTGATATGCAGGTTTAAAAGACTGGTGACGTGGTAAGTGGGGAAATTAAGCTGTCGTGTTTGTGACTTGTTTGGTATAATAGTGACTTTTAAAAAGGGAAGCTGAGTTGAGCTAAAAGCCTGCGTGCCTCCAACAAAATGTTCTAACACATGGACTGTTTTAATGGTTTTTTATGCCAGTCTGGCAAACTGAAGTGCTAGTTTAGCCAAAAAAGTGCATTTTATTACAGTTTTTCCCCTCTTACCTCAGATAGATCAGCCAAGACAAGTTTGCTTCTTTGGTTTTGCTCTGGAGCTGCGAGGCTAATGTAGCTGGCACGTAAAGGAAGCTTTTTCTCACTGATTAGCATTGTGCTAACTCGCCTCAAACTGTGTTGAATTCCTAAATAATCTCTGATAGACTTGCTTAACTGGTTTCTGGTGCTGTATGAAACACTGTTATGTGTAAAAATGGACAAAAACATGCTGTCTAGCAACAGCAGCAGTCTTGAAGCCTGGATTTCATCTGAACTTTAGCACGATGCTAATTGATGGGACATCCACTTGACTATGTTGCTATGGCGGCTATGCTGATGGGTAAAACTTGCGAGCGGTCACCTCCGATATAAAATAAAACAAAAATAAGACAGTCTAATGTGGATTTTCCCCCTTTTCACCTCCACTTTATGCAGCCAACAGCACATTAAACTGCTAGCATGTCGTATATAGCAGATACAAAGCACAGCAGTTGGAGATGTGTGAAAACAGACAGCTAACAGCCTCTTCATGGTTATAACTGATGACTTTGTGATGACTTAGTGACCGAAACCAGTTTGGCTAGTGCAGTGGTGAAATGTGACTGTAACAGCTAGTGCTGTTATCCTTCAGTTTGGGGCTTTAATGTCAAAAATGAGGGAAGTACTTCTATAATAATGTCAATGTTTACTAGCGGCCTTATGGGGTTCTATTAGGATGTTAGCACGAAGCTAATGGTCATTCACATTAACCTTTTTTTTACTTTTGATATGTCCCGAAAGTGGTCCCACACATCGTAAATCAAAACGGAATTGGTTGAATTCTCTGTCGGTTCCTGATTACATTGGTGGTTAGTCTAATGTGTAAGGCCTTCAGTTCAGCTCCTGAAGTCCTAACCAATAGGAGAGCTCACTTGACTGCATCCACATAGATACCACAGAAAAACGAATTCTGATTGGATCATTTTCCGTTGGGCTTTTCAAGAATTTTACCCTTTTATTTACAACCAAAACTTACCAATTGAATATGAGTATTACTGCAATACTTGCAGAGTATATCAAGCACAATGATGCTATTAAATCAAAATGAACTCCAATTGCAGACATTTGTTTTAGCTCACAGAAATCATTAGTCCTTCTCTGAAGGCCTGGAAGGCCGTGAAGGTTCCCCACTGCACTAGTGTCTCTAATTATCAGTGAAATTCTTGGATCTGGTTGCATTTACCTGTTACATTAGTGTTGTAGCTCCAGAAGCAAACTTCAGGTGCCAATCATGTCTTGGCTGATCGACAGCATTGGAGATAAAGGGGTATAAAACTCTGTACATTTGATTTTTGGCTGAAGTATCATTTTAAATTTCAGTGCTGCTGCAGCATGTAGTGATGATAATGTATTAAAACAGTACTGAACTGCCTTCGCTGTTTAGCTTTTCATCTCTTGAGGCTGGACTTTCATAAATAACATGGTTAAAGTTGCTTTAGACCACAGCAGCAGCTCATTCTCCAGTAAATACCAACACTCTAAACGTGGTTGTCGGGAAAGAGAATGTTTCCTCACAGTCTCACTTGCCTACTGAAGTCAACCAGCACTGTTTTTTTAGTCTGGTTCTGAGGTCAAGATTTAATATTTTTTAATATTTTATGTGTTAAATATATCTTGATTCTACAGAGCTCCAGTTTTTTTTTTTTACCTGGACTGATTTGCCCTCAGAGTTCTCCAGGAGAACATTTTCAACACCGTCCATTCCTTCCACTGACAAAATAAACCCCGAGAAAAGTTGAAATGCTCTTTGGGGGAAGAAAAGGTTAAATAATTTATTATTATTATAATAAATAATAAGCCCCGCCCCCTCCCCATCCTCTTTGATAAGAGATAAGAAATTTTGACACAACATGAAGGGCCACTGACTTTTTTCAAATTAGGACAAAAAACGAAAAATTACAAAAATGAAGATACAAGGTTTTGTCCTGACCCCAGCAACGTATGGTTCTTCAAGGGTTTTTTGGTAAAGACAAAGGTTCTGTGTAGAACCACAAACACTCAAAGAACCCTTTGATAAATTGATTGATCCTATAATGTTGCGAAAGTTGTGACCATAAACCAAGGGAAGTAAGATCAGGACGGGGATGTATGATTAGATTCCACACCAGCCATGGGCGAGGTGGGATCTCGAGCCGTATTGAGCTCACTGTCATCGAGCCCTCTTATTCAGTGTATGCACCTTTAATCATTACACATTCATATTTGTTCAGCAAACTAGATGTCAACGTTATATCATTAACTTTGTCACTGTCGGGACCAACCTCGTAGCTTCATTTTTGTCGTTTTTAATTTTTTGACATAATTTGAAATGACCAGCTTCCCTTTGCATCATATCAACGTTTCATGATGAATGGCAAAGAAATTCTCCAAAATTACTTGGAATAAATAATTTCTCCGTTACCTTCCATTGAAAGTTAATAAAGTTTTTCCCTCTCCTGTGAAGTGATCTGTTTGGAGATGTGGAAGTTTGTTCAGACAGTGCTGTTATACTGTTGGAGAAAGTTCCCCGAACGTTGTTTAAAGCAGGGCTGTCCAGTCTTATCCACAAAGGGCCGGTGTGGCTGCAGGTTTTGCCTCAAAGCCCTTGTTTAAGCAGTTGGATCAGGCTTCAAACTGCTGACCAGGTGATTTCCTGCTTTGTTGGAATGAAGACCTGCAGCCACACCGGCCCATTGTGGATAAGATTGGACACCCCTGGTTTAAAGGATCCGTGTGTTGGTGTCTGTTGGAGAATGTGTGGTGAGCGTGCAGCAGTGCTGAAATGTGCAGTGCAGAACTAACCCAGCTCCAGCAACCTGCAGCTTCAGCCAAAGAGTCAACCAGGCTGTCTCTCTCTCTGTCTGTCTGTATGTCTGTGTGTCTGTCTGTTTGCGTGTTCAGGGGCTCAGGAGGTTCTCATTGACCCAGGTACAGTACAGTACTGCCCTGCCTGCTGTAGCTCTAGACTCCGCCGTTTCTGCTGCCTGAGCCTGCGCTAGCACTCTGCTCTAACTGCTCTGTGTCTGTCTATGATTTCTGCCTGTTTTTCTAAAATTAATCTTCAGCCCTTTGATTTTTTTGTAAAGTGATTGCATTGTAATCATAACATTTGTGATTTTATTGTTTATTTTAAATAATTTTTTAAACTAAAAGCCAGCCGTTTTCTTCTTTTGATGTTTGTGATCTTGGTAAAGTGGTTGTTTTTTGTGTTTGTGTTTATATGTGAACTTTTGTAGTGTAAATACAGTTGTGTGTATTTTAGGAGTGGGAGATGGAATAATAAATATGCCAACAAGAATCTTCAGGGCAAGAATGTCACATTACGTTAAACATTTTTAATGTTGTTTGTCTACTTTTCGAAGTGGTCTCTGCTAAATATGTAAATGTAAGGATAAATATATCTTATAGCAAAAATTAGCATATAACAAATATTTAAATATTGCAATTATCATATCTCAAGTACCGTGATAAAATCATATCACGAGGTCTGCAGTGGCTCCCACCCTTATTAAAAACCCTGCTTACTACATTGAGACTTGATCTCCGACTACAGTACTGTGCAAAAGATAGAGACCACCTTTTTTCTCTGTTTTCACTCAAAATAGACTTTAAAGGCAAATTTTAAGCCTTTAAGTTACAATAATTGAAAAAGCCAGAGTTTCCAAAACTGGAGTTCAAAAAAATGGTTTAGAGCTACAAAGAAAATGTCACTCCTAACAACCACCTGGAACACTGGTAGACACCAACACTGCCCCCATCAGATAAACAGCACTTAAAGCTTTCATCTTTGAGAGAGAGGAGAAAATCAAGCTGCTTCAGATCTGAAAACATCCACAGGTGTTTCTGTCCATCCTTCCACTGTGAGAAGACCACTCAGCGCTGTGGGTCTGAAAGGATGTGTAGCTGTCAAGAAGAACCTCACTGAGAAAAGGAGACGGACACATCAAACAAAGAAGCTGAGCAATGGACTGACCACCCCAGAGTCCAGACCTCAACATCACTGAATGGGTTTGATTACTTTAGAAAATGATCAACCAACTTCTAAGACTGAACTTTGGAGGTGTGAAAAATATCCCTGCAGGTTTCTTTGAGAAACTGAAAGTGAGTCTCCTGAAAAGAGTGGAAGCTGGAAAGAAGGTAAAGAGTGACACAATAAATACTGAAAATCTGATATTATATTTAGTTAGTTAGTGGAAGTTAAGTGAGTGGTGGCCTCTGATTTGCACAGTGCTGAATGTCACAGGAGGGTGATTTCATTTTTGAAATTTAATAGATTTATATGAAAAAAAAACTTTTTTTTGTAACGATATTATCCACAGCTGTCCTGAACAGCTGTTAATATGCCTTGTAGCTCAGTAAAATTAGATTATATTTCAGCTGCTGTTTAACACATACAGTATAGAACCAGTAGGTGGCAGTGTTGTATTGTTTTCACTGTAACATTTTGTAAGCAGACCCTCAGAACTCATTGTGTACTGTTCTGTGCAAATGTCTTAAAGGGGAACTCCACTGATTTTTCAGAATTATTGTATAATTCAATAGTTGAGATGTGAACAAACTCATTCAGAGTGGTTTGGTGTGAAACATAACGTGTGACAAGTGCAAAAATGTTTTGTTTTAATATTTAATAGCGCTCCCTGTAACTTATTTCCACTTAGAAAATCTATAAAACCTATAATTTGACCAGGAGGGTTCAAACTTGCATATGAATGCACAGCCCGTTTAATTCTAAAAGATAAAGAGAGGGTGAGAACTGGTCATGTAAAAAATGAAATATGACTCTTTTTGGAACATAAAACAACACAAACATCATAAATAAACCTCATGAAAAATATAAAAAGAAGGACATGGGAGATTTAAAGTGTACTAAGCAGGTACTTGATTGAAGATTCTATGTGTTGCTTTAATTCTATGACTTCTCAACTTTTGCACTGTGTGCCATCGTTTACAGTCCTGTTTACAGAGAATGTGCATGACACTATCGTCCGTCCTTTGTTTTGATTAAGCTGGTCTGTTTTTGTTGATTGAAACTAATTTCACAGCTGTTGGCTGAGAGTCTTTGAAGAAGCACAGACGAGTAACACCTGACATTGATCTGTATCACACATCTTTGACAGCATATTAGTTTCCACTCTGGTACACGCTCTGGGGTCTCTGTGTGTTTTCCTCTGCTGTAACACACATGAGAACTTTGAAAAAGACCAGTTGAGTATAATCAGGTGTGTTAAAGCAGGGAAAAACAAGAAATTGCGCCACTTTTGGGACTCTCATATCTGCGATTAGGATACTTTACATGTATTTTACTCTGTATATCCAAAGATATCCAAACAGCTTGAATTCAGCTACTTTAGTGTTCAGTTCTGCAAATACAGCTTGTATTATCCCCATAGAAGGGTGTTGATTATAATAAGGTCACCATGACCAATGTCAAGTGTGGGCTTGAGGGGTATAAAGCCTCCCAGCGTTGGGCTGTGGAGCAGTGGAGCTGTGTTCCCTGGAGTGATGGAGCTCCATCCAATACCTTTGGGATGAGTTGGAGTGATTTCAGAACTGACCATCCAACATTCACTAATGCTCAATCAAATCCTCACAGCAATGTTCCAACATCTAGTGTAAAGCCTTCCCAGAAGAGTAGAGGCTGTTACTGCAGCAAAGGAGGAACAAACTCCTATTAACACCGTTCATTTCAGAAGAAAGGCTGGATATCTACCAACTTTTTTGGCTGAAATGCGCTGTATCTGTTATGTATGATGACAGCATGTTTTTTTTTCCCCATACCTGTATCCTTCTGAAGGCTACTTGTTGCTAGGCAACAGCTATGGATGCTGTACTCTAAGCTGCTGGGACGTTTTTTGGTGGAATAAATTGCTGATATTAAGATTGTAAATAGTTTTTCTGGCTATCAAATGATTATTGGTATATGCTGTGTAGCCATTTAACACCGGTGACACTGCTAATTAGACTGTTAGGTTTATTATAAATGGTGTTTTAGAATGGAAGCAGGTTCTATTACAATTTAATACCGCTGTCGTTGATGTGCTATAAGAGCAATGTTGGTGTTACTGCAGCATGCATGATGTGTGGTAACAGACATGTTTCTGTTCTCTGGGCTCTGTGCTTGTTTCTCTTGTTCTTCTCTGATGTCTGTCTCGCTCACTTTCTGTCACGTGTTTATATTCATGAGTGTCAGTTCTTCTCTTGCTCGCTCGCTCTTTCTCTCTCTCACACATTTTCTCGTCTTCTCTTCGTCTCTGGGCAGGTGCTCTGACCACCAGCGGAATCAGTGCGGACACTAGCAGTGAGATCGGCCGAGCTAAGAACTGTCTGAGTCAGGAGGACATCATTGAGAAGTACAAAGAGGCCATCTCTTACTACGGCAAGGTGAACTAGCGCAGTACAACGAGCCCGTCTGTCGTTAAAGTGATGATTCAGTGCTCCGTGATGTTTTCACATTTCCCCTTCAACCTAAATGTGTAAGACAGGTTTGGTGTCTGAAGAGACATTCGTGCCCATAAAATGCATGGAAGTATGTTCAAAGCAGCGTTTGCTGCCACCCTGAAACCTGGATTTTGTTGTATTTGTACTATACCACATTGCGCACATTCTTAAAAAATGATGGTTCCTCAAAGGTTCCTTAGCTTGGGAAGAGCATTTTATAACAGTGTGAATGGGGAGAACATTCTAGAACAGTGTGAATGGGAAGAACGTTCTAGAACAGCGTAAATGGATAGAATGTCAAGCGGTTCTTCAAAAGTTCTTTAGTAAAGAAAATGGTTCTATGTAGAACCATAAACACTCAAAACTGTGTAAATCAGGAGAACATCATACAACTGCGTAAATGAGGGAGAACATCATAGATAGGCATAAATGGCTAGAACATACACGAACTGTGTGATTTGGGGAGAATGTTGTAGAGCAGTGAGAAAAGGGAGAACATTCTAGAACATTGTGAATGGATAGAACATGTCAGAACAGAGCAAATGGGGAAGAACAGCATGGAAGGGGGGGATATTCTAGAACAGTGTAACTGTGGAAAGACATTGTAGAACAGCAAAAATGGGGAGGACATTTTAGAACAGTGTTAATAGAGAGAACAGTCTAGAACGAGGACAATATTCTTAAACCCTGTGGATGGTGAAGAACACTGTGTAACAGTGTGAACCGGGGCGAACACTCCAGAACAGTTTAGGGTTGGAGAGAACGTTCTGGGACACACGGATGGGGAGAACATTCTCGAACACACGGATGGGGAGAACATTCTCGAACACACGGATGGGGAGAACATTCTAGAACACACAGATGGGGAGAACATTCTAGAACACACGGGGAGAACATTCTAGGACACATGGATGGGGATAACATTCTAGAACACACGAATGGGGAACATTTCAGGACACATGAATAGGGATAGCATTCTAGAACACAGTGAATCGGAAAACATTCTAGTACACAGTGAATGGGGAAAACATTCTAGAACAGTTTTGAATCTGAGAAGAGCTTTCTATGACAACGTGAATCATGTAGAAACATTCTAGAACAGTATGAGTAGGGGAGAACTTTCTAGAACAGTGTGGATGTGGGAGAACATTCTACAGACCCAGACAGTCCCACACCGGTACTGCACACTATCCCAGTGTTTGGGTTTGTTTGGTTTCTGCTGGAGAACGTCAGTGCGGCTGTTTTCTGCCTCTCAGCTGTTCTGATAGTGACCACCAGGGGGCAGTAAGCCCCCATGAAAAACGGCACCATTGGGCTGTGACTGCAGCGGTCCTCTTTTTTAGGTTGCTGCTGGTCTTTCAGCTGAGAACAGAATGTTTCGGTTTCAACTAGAGAACTAGAGAATGATCTGAGTGCTCTACAGTCAGGATCCAACACTATCACTGTACTAGACGTCACTGTATCATTATATCTGTCACTGTTCACTGTGGTAGCAATCTGAGATAATAGGCTCAAGTCCTGGACCTCTGTATGGTTCAATGAGCGAGAAACTATTTCCAGGGATCTTTGATCTTAATTATTAAGCTTAATATTATATTATTAAACATTTTTTTAAATTATTAAGATGCCTCTACCTTCAGCTGACCTTAAAGGAGATAAAGGATTTGTTTTCTTTGAGTCAGCATTTCCAATATGACCAAACGGCAGGTCTGTCCATTACGCTGAGACGGAAATCAAATTAATTCTGATTGAGTCTAATGAAGTTTTGTATTGGGGCTGATTGTAGATCAATGTACTTTGTTCATGCAATGTAGGTAATGCATTTAAAGGCACTGCGTTTCAGGTTATTAATGACTCAATGTAAACAAACCCTGTATTTGCATTAATAATAGCATGCTGAAATGAATGAGTTCTGATTAGCTGATCTAAGAACAGGCAGGATTTAGGTTGAAGGAACATGTCTTAGACTAGGGAGAACTTTTGTTGACAGTTTATAAGCTACTTTATCCTGTTTTTAGGACAGAATTTCTCCTGAAATTTGTATTTTTTTGCTGTGCTGTCTTACCTATATTGCATTTCTTGGTGTGGTGATTAAGTTGCCTTCAATGAAAGATGATTTAATAGAGAAGAGAGAAAAAGAATGGACAAACTTTGTGTACAAACTTTTATTTCTCTCTCTTTCAGTATAAGAACGCTGGGGTGATTGAGTTGGAGGCGTGTGTTAAGGCAGTGCGAGTCCTGGCCATTCAGAAGAGAGCCATGGAGGCTTCAGAGTTCCTGCAGAACGCTGTCTACATTAACCTGGGACAGGTAAAGACAAAGAACAGCACCTCAAACACCACACCTGGATTATCTTTCACCAGAATTACTTGGTGATTGCACTTAGGGATGGGCAGTATGATGATATGTGATCGATATTGTGATAAATTACATCACAACATGCTTTTCTGGGTACGTGTTGGGTTTGGTCAGTACTTTTAGAGCACTGGATCTGAATGGACCATGAAAAGACTGATTTAAACCAATTACAGAGAGCGTGTAAACAACAACAACAACAACAGCAATTATATTAAAATAAACAGGTTTTGTTAAACTATTTCATTTCTTGTTTTAAAAGTAAAAAAAAAGTGTTTATTTGTGAGCTCCTGCTGGTGTGGGTTCATGGCTATTTCTTCTCTGTAAATGAGACACACAAAAGTGACAAAGCTAATAGCTCCCCCTGCTGGACAAACTTCAGACTGCTATATGTGTGAATGAGTTCCAAATCCAAGTCCACTTACTTTACATATTATAAAATGGTTTACATAATTATAGCGGGGGAACTCTGGAATTCAGCTTCAGATGTCTGTCGTAAACCATTATATTCATAATTTTAACTCACCTGAACCATCGGGACACTGAAGCTGCACTGAAAATGCTTACAGTTTTCCTCAGATGGTATTGTGCACTCTGGGAGACCCCCAGCACAGACAGTTATTCAACCCTGTAAAGGTCCATTGTTTCAACATACTTGTACGTATTATGTTATATTAAATAGCAAGCTGCTTTATGGTTATCTTTCAAGTTTTCCATCAATTCTCTTCCCCGAACATGATAATTGCCTTTTATCATCATTGAGTTATTTGTAAGTCATGTTTATATCCAATTACGTTACCCTGTCACCCAGACCTGCTTAGATGCACTGCATCTTTAGCTGTTTGAAGTTAAGCAGAATCATTTGAGGAGCGTGTACAGCCTTCATTCTCTTAGGTGTAGTTCCATTGCATGAAAAGAAACATACTTGCTCATTCATTAGCTTTTTCATTAGGGCGGATTATTACTGTGTGATTTGGCTGTAATCAGAAATAGAGAATAAATAAATATGCTGATCCTCCTGTCGTTAAGAAATGTCACCGAACGTGCAAAGGTAAAACAATTGTTTGTTGAGGATTAGCCCGAATCAGCGGATGGACCGAGCCCCTCTTGTGCTGAATGAGATTTCATTAACCTCTGAGTCTCATAGTCCATTTCCTGACATTTCTCTAGAAGACATTTCCGTTCATGCCCGCCGTTTGGTTTAAAGGTGCGTGAAATTGCAAGATTGCTCAGTGTGTCGGCAAATAGTAGGTTTCTGACGTAGTCCAAAACCAGAAAGATAGTGCTAACCTCAGCATTAGGGCTCTGGTTTGCTTTTGGATTCATTAATAGAGACTTTACAGGAGCACTTGACCCAAAATAGCTAGCGTAACTTTTAATTGAAGCCAGCAGTGAGCAATTCCTATGTAGTACAGGAGGGCATCGCTAGAGACCCCAAAATATGATATTATCCTGATACTTGATCTGCAGTATGAGTCTGTTGTGATATTTAAAGCTGCAATGTGTATATTGTTTTTGTTAACATTGAAAGAAGTAGAGTTACCGCACCTCAGCATCACTGAATGTGTTCGGGATTGTTTGAAAATGCACTTTGATAATTAGTTTAACAATGAGCTTAATGCATGTTCAAAAATATGAATAATAAAATAATAAACGTCAGCCTCATTGATGTGGTATTTTTATGCACACACTATATGTAAATGATATTCTTTTTTTTTTCCCCTCCCACCTCTAATTTGTATGCCACTGTAGAATTTTCAGCTGAAATATTTCTTGACAAGCACTTCATTAATGAAAGTGACATTCATTAAATGGTTTATCTGTCTTGTCTCTTCACAGCTGTCTGAAGAGGAGAAGATCCAGCGCTACAGCGTTCTTTCAGAGCTGTACGAGCTGATCGGCTTCCACCGTAAATCTGCATTCTTTAAGCGCGTGGCTGCCATGCAGTGTGTGGCCCCCACCATCCCTGACCCGGGCTGGAAGGCCTGTTATAGACTGCTCCTGGAAACGCTGCCTGGGTACAGCCTCTCCCTCGACCCCAAAGACTTCAGCAAAGGTACTCCAGACTTACTCATACTCATCTCGGACCCTCATTTACCTCCTGCTTCTGCCAAGGCTCATGATATTAAACACTGGGGATTAGACAGTACATAGTTTCTTAATGATTGCTGTGATTATTGGCCTTTTCAGTGTCGCTTTTACAGGCTGCAATATGCAGGTATTGCAGTGAAATGCAATGAATCCTTTTACTTTTTTTAGTGCACACTATTGTTGTCCCATTTATTTTCTTCTACTTCTTCTTTTTCCCTTTTCTGCTGGACATTTTTTCAGATAGTGACACAGAACCAACTCTGAAATGTTCAGTCTGACTTTGAGAGGGGTAATTTTTAAAGATATATTCAGTTTCTATGTAGCATCTGTGCGTAGTTGGATTTTTTCCTATATGATTGAATGTCTGATCTATGAGGCCAAACATTTGTACACCCCCTTTTTATGTCACCCTGATAAAAGTGCACTAACAGCACTGTCAACAGCCCAGCAACATCCTAGCAACCACCTGGGATACCATAGCAGTCACCTAGCAACACCAATTGGCAACCACATATCAACCCTCCTAACAACTACTTGACATACCAAAGCTACTGCCTAGCAACACCCTAGAAACCCCCTGAGATATTATAACATTATGTAGCAATACCCATGTAGCAACTAAATGGCACACCTTAGCAACTGCTTATTAAGACCCCAGCAAACATCTAGCAACACCCTAGCAACCACTTAGTAACAGCATACTGTATAACACCCCAGCAACCACCTGGGATATCATAGGAGTCACCTAGCAACACCAATTGGCAGCCACATAGCAACCACCCATTAACCCCCTAACAGACACTCGACATACCAAAGTTACTGCCTCTTGACACCCTAGCAACCACCTGATACCCTAGCAACACCCTAGCAACCACCTGAGATACCAAACCAATCAAGTAGCAATACCCACGTAGCAACTAATTGGAGCACCTTAGCAACCACTTAGTAACACCCCAGCAGTACTGGGAAACTGCTTACGCTGCACAGTCACTGTACATTTTCTTCAGGAAATGCACTTTATTAGTTTATTATATTGTGAGCATTATGACCAACCTCAGATGTTCCACATGTGTGTTGTTGCATCAAGGCCTTCAGGTGATCCTACGAACATGAATCATTTTAATCCAATACAGGCCAGCCTTTACTCGTGTTACATCAGAAGTTTACCAATGTGTTTTTAATACATTGCAAGTAGCATATAATCACAAAATGTAGCAAAATGTTCTCTGTATGATCTTCTGTCCATATTGTGCTGCAATCAGTCAAAATTAATTCATTAGTTGTCGTCAGTGCTCTATCTACAAAATCATTACGACTCATTGAAATTAACTACAGTGAGTGTAGGGGGCGATATGGCTCCTATTGTATCATTTAGAAAGCACTCAATAATGTTCCTATTATCTGCACAGTCATTCTGACAGACTGTAATACACTACAGTGAGTGTAGGGGGCGATATGGCTCCTATTGTATCATTTAGAAAGCACTCAATAATGTTCCTATTATCTGCACAGTCATTCTGACAGACTGTAATACACTACAGGAAGTGTAGGGGGCGATATGGCTTCTATTATCATTATGAAAGTTGCTCAAGACAAGATGAACAAGCTAAAATTTAAATGATGGCGGCACTGAAATGAGAGGAAACTGCAAATGGCATAAAAGTTTAAGTTGATTTATCTAATAATGGGGCTTAGAAGGTGTGTGTGTGTGTGTGTGTGTGTGTGTGTGTGTGTGTGTACCTAATAATGGGGCTTAGAAGGTGTGTGTGTGTGTGTGTGTGTGTGTACCTAATAATGGGGCTTAGAAGGTGTGTGTGTGTGTGTGTGGTGTGTGTGTGTGTGTGTGTGTGTGTGTGTACCTAATAATGGGGCTTAGAAGGTGTGTGTGTGTGTGTGTGTGTGTGTGTGTGTGTGTGTGTGTGTGTGTGTACCTAATAATGGGGCTTAGAAGGTGTGTGTGTGTGTGTGTGTGTGTGTGTGTGTGTGTGTGTGTGTGTGTGTGTGTGTACCTAATAATGGGGCTTAGAAGGTGTGTGTGTGTGTGTGTGTGTGTACCTAATAATGGGGCTTAGAAAGTGTGTGTGTATCTAATAACGGTTGGTAGATTAATCAGTTATGGTAATAATGAGTTTATAGTTATTGCTAAATTAATCTATTTATTACAAATAGATTGTTTGAACTAATGTCTCTTGTCAACATTGCACTGTAAAAAATAGGCCATTTAACATATAATAGGGTAACATCCAATCAGCTGCTTGTTACTGTGCAGTTTATGCGGATACTGTACTCTGGTTGTTGATGTTGTTTACAGGCTCTTTTTAATTGGCCTAAATGTGTTAAAATTTACATTATAAATGTTTTATGACTTAAATGCATCATCATTATGATAAAACACACCAGCTGACCGTTCTGTCGGGGTCAAGGTCTGTGCATGCTGTTTAATGGTGACTGACCATCGTATTGAGTGAGGTCATTTAGTAGATGGTGAAATAAAGAGGCACCAGCCTGTTTCGTTTAAGGATAATGTTACCAGTTTATTGGGAACAGAATTGATTTATTGGTCATTCTGTAAACGTACTGATCTGGTATCTGTTGCTTCCGTGTCTATAATTACAGTCCAGTGGAAATGACGGATGAAAACTGCAGCTTTCCCTTTCATGTTTGATGAATATTAACCAACGCTTTATTGCTCCCAGGATGACATCATTGTCTTTTCCTCTCCGCTTTTGTTGTTTGTCCACGACGGACGGCTGTGATTTACGAGCGCCGCAATGAGCGCCACAAATTTATTTACGTCATTTTCAGCGTCTGTTTGTTGTTTATGAAAGGAGCAGCATATTAATGAAGGTAACTGATGGTTGTTTAAACGGTTTGAAGTTCCTCTTTGGTTGACCTTCCTGCAGATGAGCTTTGGCTCCACTGGGGAGTAATGAGCCGTGATGGGTGTCATCCTTGTTGTTTTTTGGACGCTGCTTGTTTGTGAAGTGCTCTTCTGGAGGGTGCTCTGTTTTTAGGACAGCTCTGCGAGAGCCTTTTTTTCTGTTTTCATGAAGTGCAGGTTGACCTGGTGGACTCTCAACTACCTTCATCTGAGCTCTTCTATACAAAATCCTCTCACAAACACGGCTGAATGAGGAATGCAGTTATCCTCAAGGGTATCACGCCTGAGATCCTCATTTTAGAGTGTGAATGTGTGTTTGAGAGTGAGTGGGCGAGTGGTGTGTAAGCTTGTGTGTGCTTTTTGAGTGTGTGTGTGTATGTGTGTGTGTGTGTGTGTGTTTGTAAAGCCCTTTTTCACATTCAAACCTAGTACAATACTATATTTATTTGATTTCTGGTCAAAACTGCTATTATGTTATTCACTGAATTGAAAGTTCTTGACCAGAAACCGAAATTTAGGAAACACTCAGCCGAAAACCGAAACCAAAGAAGGTAAGAAAGAGCTCTTTTATATATTATGTGGCATTTTGTTCATGCTTTTGAATTAAGAAGTGCTTCTGATGATGCTTTAAAGGTGTTAATCGTCAGTCTCTAAGTATAGGCTATTCATTTCATATTCATCATGAAAAAAAACAGAAAATTACACAGAAGCCTCAACAATTAAATATAATATTATTTTACTCAATGTTTATTGTGTCCACTCTACATTTATTCCAGCTTCCACTCTTTTCAGGAGACTCACTTTCAGTTTCTCCAAGAAATCTGCAGGAATATTTTTCCACACCTCTAAAGTTCAGTCGTAGACGTTGGTTGCATTTTCTGCTTCTCATGATACAAATAAGGTTCTTTAGGGAACCAAATATGGTTCTCTTTGGCAGTGTTTTTTCTTCCCCAACCTGGTCCTCAGGACCCCAAATGGTCCACATTTTTCCTTCAGCCATTGTGTTGCGAATTAGTTTGGAGCAAAAGTGTGGACCGTCTGGGGGGATCCTAAGGACCGGTTTGGGAAACGCTGTTCTGTGACGTTGTGCAAAGAGCCCTTTTTATTACTTTTATTTTTATAAGTGTGCATTACTGGGATTTTACTGGGATTTTACTCTGGCTTGCTACAACCCCTAATGCTTAACCCCTTCCCCTTTAATAACAGCAAAAATCCTCATAAAAATGCAGCTGTGAAAGGGGCTTAACTGAGGTGTATGTGGTTAGTCTGAAGGTAGACTGGACTGCTAACTCCCCATCTCCTGAGGTCCACTCAGGTTGTGTGTGCTAAAGCAGCAGGAGCTTCAGTGGAGAGTATTGATCTGTTCCACTCACTTCTTTACTTTAGATTACAGCCCTATAGGAGCTGGAGTAGTTTAATCAAAGTACTCACTGTAATTTAAATGAGGTCTGTGAATTTAACCTCTTCACCAAGAGGGTGAAAATGGACAATTCTGCTGTATAAATTTGATTTTCTTATAAAATAAAGTGGTCTAAATGCTGTCATCACAATTTTTTAAATGACAAACAGCAATCTAACAAAGCTGAACGTTTGTAGATCTTTTTCGTGAGCTACCATTTTGAGGAAATGAACAAGTGCAAAAGAATAAAATTCAGACTTTTGATGCCCGTAATGCTGCTCTGATTTAACGAATGTTTCCTGTGTCTGAAATGTGCAAACGTTTGTATTTGTGTTATCAATAGAAATACTTGGAGGCTACTGCAGTATGAATCTGTAATTCACCATCATTTGCTTCCAAAAGTTACAATGCAAAGTGGAATAAGACTGTAATATGGTACTAATGAATAATATTTTTAAGTTATATATCGCTGTTGTTCGGAAGAAAACCTTGTGTCTCCAGAATGATAACTTTACAGGAAAAGGAAAAACGTACCTTACTTTTAATGTAAGTCAATGGAACCAGATTTTCTTTTGGTCCATTCTTCATGAAATTTACACACGATGTAAAGAGCAACAGGCATTTTCAAAATATGTCAAAAACTCAAAAACGACCAAAATGGAGATACGAGGTTTTCTTCCGACAA